GTAAAGTCACATTGTCCACAACTTGTTTTCATACACTTCCAGAGACAGCATGCATGTGCTAACTGTGGCTGCTTGACAGATGTAGGTGGAAAGTAATGTGGGTTTTGTCATCTTGCTTTTGAAATTTTTCAAAGTTTTCAAGATCAAAAATTTAATTTTCTTAGTCTTGGCTTACACTCTGGTTATTCTTCAAAACCCTTTTGATCCCAAGCTCAAACCATTCCCTCCTTGGTCAGGGTCATTCTGCCAGGAGCTCAAGTCGCTGGGCTTCATTTCCTCCAAGTGCCAGTGTTCTCAGGCTGGGATCTTTCCTGCCCGTGTGAGTCTTCCCTTCACAGCACTCTGCAGGGCTCACTCCTCAGAGCATTCTCAGCTCCGAATAGAAGATTAATTAATTTTTAAATTATTAAATATAATAAATGTCAGATGCAGGGGGTCTCTTAGGAATAGGATGTGTCCCAGAGCATTCACTCCTTTCGTCTGAGTTTAAAACAGCTCCTGAGTAACAATGCCCAAGCCTACACTACCCTTAGCAAATACTGACACCCTGAACTGTGTACTCTGCTTTACTTTCTGTAGAGAGCTACGATCAGGACATTTTTCAAAGACATTTTCTTTGCTTATAAAAACTGGCAGGTAGATGTTTTCTCTTTCTTTCTAGAAATGGGTCACAAAACTAAAAAACTAAGCAATTCTGTGGCCTTGCTTTACCACTTTGGACTGTGTTGGAATTCTTGCCTGGGTCTAGGTAAGTTCAGCTTCCTGGTTTAGGAAATAAAGTCATCAGTACTGTTGAGGATCTGGAGTGTCCAGTGAAATGTAAACACTTATCTGTGACGTAGCCTAGAAATCTGTCTCACTGCGGAATCCTTTTTTCCTCCAGGGAGATGAGAGAAGCTCTATTGTGTTTTTTATTTTGCTTTGCTCTATGTATTATTTTACAGTTTATCTTGACTCTGTAGTCTTTCCCAAGCTGTGGGAAAAGCACGTGTGCACCCTTGAACTACTCAGTAAGAAGCCAATTTTTCTTTCTTTCCATAGTGACATGAACATATATCTTTGACTGTAGACTTTTCCTTCCTCAAGACTATTCTGGTTGCATATCTGCAGAGGCTGATGACAACATTGGCAGAAGGTGAAAAATACATATTCTATTTCTACTTCTGTGACTTTATTATACAGATCTACTTGTAGACATGCACAGAGGCCCAAAATTCTAGAGGAAAACCTAAGTGTTTCTCACTAGGCACAGATACATTTTACAAAACATCAGTACAACAGAATACTGTGTACTTCATAAAAACAGAAAATACACTTTTACATATAGACATGGAAGGATCTCTAAGATATACCATCAAATAAATAGAGCAAGGGACAAAATTATGGATTTACCATAATGACATGTGTACTTTGCATTTGTAGATGTTCAGACTCATGGAAAGACACACAAGAATGTGTTCACGGTGGGTATTCAGCTGAGACAGATTTCTGCTGGAGTGAGCGTGTGAGAAACGTTTGCTTTCTCCTCCCTTGTTTTTTAGTTAGTTTTCTAAAGCAATGTAAATACATTTCATAGAAATATTTTGGTTTAAATGCAAATAAAAGTAGAGATGACACAGAGGGCTTCAAGACATCACTAAAAAGTTGTATAAACAATACAAGGGCAGGAACCTTGTTCGTATACCCAGTATATACAACAACATCTTGTACAAGGCCTAAAGTGATCCCTAAATTTCTCCTTTGTCTCTCTCACAGAATTCATCATTGGAGGTATTTGGTCCTTTACCAAAGGCTCAAGGGAGTCTTGGATGATTTTTCTAGCATGGTATATAGTCTCTGTCTCCATCTCTTTGCTTACACTGTGCCACCCTCCAGGGAAAGACTCTCCCCTCATTTCCCTTCTTCACTCCTTTAAAATTGTTCTCATTCCTCACTCCAATCTGAAACTCCAATTTCTAATGAAGTTTTTCTTCGGGCTTCTGGGGAAACGTTCTCCTTCACTGGTAGTCTCAAGGTAGCCCTACCCCTATGTATGGCAGTAAAGTGATTCTCACAGTTCTCCATCCTGTCCGACTCAAGCACAGAGAAAGCTGTGTGGCCATGGCCTGTTCCATGTTTAAAACTAGCATGTGAACCTGAACTCCTTGGTTCTTTCCTTTGGTTTCTTTCCAGATGCCCCCCCTGAGCTTCCTCGAGTTGCCAAGTTCACCTGTCTGCAAGTCAGTCTACATCCCTCTTCCCACTGAATGCATCCCTGATAACTTAGGTTCAGGGAAAACATACTTTCCTGGTTCTTACCACAGTTAATTGCTAAGAAGTGTACTGGAAAACCCACATGGTATAAGGAGAGAACCAACTCCCAAAAGTTATCCTCACCTCCACGTGTGTGCTGTGCCACGCACATATGAGTAAGTAAATACATGTAAAACCTTTTGTATTAGTCAGGGCTCTGTAGAGGGACAGAACTGGCAGAATCTATCTATGTCTATCTATCATCTATCTATCTATCTATCTATCTATCATCTATCTATCTATCTATCATCTATCATCTATCTGTCATCTATCTATGTCTATCTATCTATCTCTCTATCTATCATCTGTCTATCTATCATCTATCTAATCACTTATACTTAATATCATGACTATTAATGAAGCAGGCATTCGCTTGTAAGTAAGTACCCAAGATTTAAGAAATCACAGCCCAGACATTGGCTGCAGTGGTATTTCTGTAGACTTTACATGAGAGAAAGTGCAATTTACAGTCCTTATTGTAATGACACACGTCCTATCAGCTGGCCATTGCTTCCTCCGAGACTGCTCAAGGGTAGATCCCAAACAGCACAGCTTTGGAATCCTAACATCTGGTAAACTGTCACTGAGTTTTTTCTTTTGCCAATAGTAAACATCTTTCCCATTAATGGAAAATTAGTGCCTTTCAAGCACTTTAAATATGAAAAAAATTTATAAACATGTGGTTTGGAGGAATCATTTAATTCTTTTTCCTAATTTTCTTTCTTCAGGATAGATTCTTTCAACGAGTACTTTTAGTAATGACTTCAATTTTGGAGTGTGGTAGCTATGTTAAAGAGTAACTATTTGGTCTTACTGAAGCCAACAAAGAACTTGCTGCTCTGTTTTTTCTTCAGTGATAAATAAAATACTTACAGAAAAAAAAAAAGAAAAATCACAGCCCACCAAAACACAGACTCAGAATGTGGAGTCACAGAACGGCTAAGTCAAAGAAGTAGGTACATAAGATGATAAAGCTACAAAAGGAGATGGCAACCGAATTCTCCATGCTTCTGCCGAACTCCCGACTAGCGAAGGGATCACCGTTCTTGTGAAACAGCCACACAGTCCTCTACTGCTTGATAGGGTGGTGGGAGGTCAAGCTTTGTTTCTTTTCTGTACTTCATTTTCTGCATTTGCAGAAGTGGGGCAGAAAGAGCCACTCCAGCGCTCTCATAGAAGGAATTAACTCTAAGTCGGAATTGAAGGAGGACTATTCTAGCGTTCTCTCTAGTTCCGTACAGCGCCATCACCACTCCCAGCAACTTGATTTCTCCCCCACGCTCAGGAGTTCTACTGTATCCTTCAACTGAAGACCTTCTGAAAGGCCACTTCAATCTATCTTATCTGAGCATTGCTGCGGAAGAACACATTTCTGGCTTACACCAAATTATGACCGCAGAAAGGGCTGAGTAAGTAAAAGAGAAAAGGAGGTCTGGTGTTTCTGAGAGAGTTATTCTTAGCAGATGCAGAGGAGCCTGTTAAATGACAAGCCCTACCAATTCTACCACCCAAATCAAACATAAGCAACTCCATTTTTACACTCTCAAAGAGAGATGAGTTTTGAAGTTTCATTTAGAGTTCAATACTGGATGACACTTAAAAAATACATATCAAAGTCTTTTAAGGCCTAGCTCTCTTTCAGCCATTGGTAAGTTGTTGAGCATTTGACCCAAGACAGCAGAGGAGAGCCAGATCAAAATCTGCAGGATTATACTATGATGCCAAGCAAGAGTTGTGAAATAACAACAGAAGCGTTCTCACTTGGGCACAGTGTTGCATATATGAGTTTAGTTCTTACAGAACCCAAGTCATCAGAACTTGATCTCACCTCCCACAAAGTCTGTGAGTCATTATGCCATCAGAACAGTATTTTCTAGACAACGCGTACTAGTTGATTCTCTCTCAAGGCAAACCCTTGAAAATATGAAGAAGCCTTTTCTTTCATCTCTTCTGTTTTCAAAAACAGATTTTACCACTTACTTAAACAAAGAAAACTCCCAAGACAGTTCAACCCTGCGCATTGTGTGTGTATCTCAGAGGGTACAGGTCCCTCAGCTGTTTCATGCAACACCCTAAGCTCTTCAAAGCCAGTGAGTGGCTTGTGAGGAAGCTTTCGATTTCTTTTGTGGGTTTTAATGCTGAAATGCCCAGAGCTTGGAGGAGCTTTGCCTTGACTTTTATCTTGTTTCCATCTATACTGTGGCCTCTGCAATTTAGCTCTTTGTCAGAAAAAAAGGGCAAACAAAACCAAGCGCACTAACAAACTCTTGGAAATGGAGAGGCCTCAGAAACTTTGGAAACATGGTTGGAGAACACAACCTTACAATCTGGGCTGCAAGTCTTGCAGAGATATCAAGTCCTGCACACATCCTATCAGCTGGCCATTGCTTCCTCCCTAGCCACCACCAGACTCTGGCTCAGCAGGCTCTAAACTGCAGTTTCTCAAGGCAGATAGTTCCTCTCTGTTCTTTTGGCTCAGGGACGTCTGGAAAGTTTTGAGATTATCGTCCAATAACATTCCTCTAAAAACATCTTAGTTCAGGGAATTTGTTTCTGTTTCTTTTTTCCCGTCTTCTGATACGGCATCTATATTCATACATCATTTTATGACTTTTTTTTCTCAATTAACATATTCGTTTGCTCCCAGAGCTGTACCTATGGGGAGGCAGACTCTAAATGAGAAAAGGAAAGCAAAGGCGTCCACTCACCGTCTTCTGGACTGCCAGAACGAGGATGGTTGCCACTGCCACAACGAGGCACACCAGGGTGGCTGTGCACAGGTAGAAGTAGCCGCGGCTGGTGCTTCTCCAGGAGTTGTCCACCGAGTCGGGTGACTCCTGCATGGCTGAGTCAGGGTAAGGGGCCCCACGGCTGCCTGCTCGCGGCAGCCCCAGCTCCATGCTTTATATAGTCTGCCCCACATCACACCTTATCTCTCCTCATCTGATTCGATTCTGCACCCAGCTCTGTTCCAAGAAGGATTTTCCCCCTGCATCCTGGATCATGTGACTTGGAAAAAAGCCTTCACCAGTTGCCGGGTGGAGAAACTCTTCTCTGGGGGCGTGAGGCGAAGGGTAGCTGTAAGGGTGGGGGAGAGGTTCATTTTTCATCGCCCGGGATTGATTTGAGCAGAGAAATTGTAGTGAGAGAGATGGTGGCTGATGTCAGAGGGCGGTAGGAAAGAGACAGTTCTGCGTGTGCCGATGTTGCACCGGATCACTTCTGTTTCGTTTAGACTCAGCCACAGAACACCTTCCTTCCTGGAGCCTGTACACTGCATTCTCCAGGCTGGTGCCCAGAAGAGTTTGCAGATAAAAGTCTCTTCAGTGGGTCCCTGGGAGCCTGCAGTTTTTGGTCAGCAGTACAGTTGTTTGACAATCACTGCCTGCTATGTACACTCATTCTTGGGAAGGAAGGTTACACAATGTGGCACTATGGGTAAACTGGGGCAAGTTCATGACAGTAGGAAATTTGGGCATAGTTTCAAAGATACTGAAAAGAAAAGACAAGAACAGGAATTTGGAAACAACACACTTTTGAACTAAAACTCTTAATGCTTTTGCAGGGTGTTTTGGGGTCTGTTAAATTTGTTGATGAACCTGGCTTGCCATAAAACTCATCAAAAGGGAAGGGATATGTGTAGAGGACTTGGGAGGAGAGGCTGAGTGATGTGGAATGTCTGGGGGTGCCTGTGCTGTCTGAGGGGTGTACTGGGGTGCGTACAGTGCTGTAGGTAAACTGTGGTAAACTGTGTGTGACTGTTACCATAATCCAACCTCTTGACTCAGTTACAATCTTGGAAACTTTGCTTATAGTCTCTCTTTACCCTTATCTCCAAGCTCAGAGGAAGGTGACATTTCTTCTTTATAGAATGGAACATAGAGGCTCAGTCAGCACAAAAACTTTCTCAACCAAAGTTACAAATCTAGCCTACAGAAGAACTGGGAGGTGCATCCAAACTGGCCTGGCCCTGAAGCCTGCAGGAATCCTTACTTCCGGGCTGCAAACCTCATGGCCTATCTTAGCCTTCTGTCTTTGCAGCTTTGGTCCTTGACTAAGTCACCATGGCCCTTTCTTTATTCCCTTCTGCTTTACGGTCATGGAGAAGATCAAACAAGATGATGTAAGAGTGTTTCCTGAATGGGAACAGACTTGGCAGCTGCTGTTGAACAATTCCTGTTAAACATCCCAAGTTGTCCCCTGGGCCACGTCTGGAATTTAATATAATAAATAGATACTCTGGGACACAGAGCTGAATCAAATCAGTGGTTATGAATGACCTCTACACTTCAGAACACCTTTAAAGACATGGATCACTAATTTGCAGCTGCCTATAGACGTGACCTTTAGAAACCTCATATGCTGTTACCCTGAAGGTTGTCAGTATCTTCCCGTTTGGCTGTAGCCTACATCTGTAAGACATGGGGGATATCAGAAGCCTCCAAGGAAAGCCAAGCTTGGAGTTTTCCTGTTTCTGGCCCTGTGTAGATCCTTAACTGCTGAGCATCCCTCAAAGTGACTTGGATTTAGGAGATGGTCTGGAGACCCTTCCTAGTGAATTCATAAAATCACAAATCCTGGAGATGGAAGAGGAGGCAGTGAGGGATGAAATCGTGAAATGTTTTCTTGGGCTTAATAGAATGGTGGACAGTATACCTATTTGATGATCAAGGAAGCTGAGCCCCTTTGGTCCCAAGCTGAGCTTGGCTTTGGAAGACATATGTATACACATTCACTTGGCTGCCAGTTGAAGTAAGATGAGGCAAGCCAGTATTTTTTGAAGGGTGCACCTGGTTGACTTGGGGAGAAGGCCTTGTCCTCTCTTGGGTACGGACAGGGAGTGGGTGGCAGTCTGCTTAGGTCTGCTGAGAACTGCCTGCTCCCTTGGCCCTCTCTGCATAGCTCCTTTGATCAAAGTGGAAAACTTGTGATTGTTGAATGGAAGCTGTGGGTGTTGAAAAATAAAAAGGCTTTGCTTGAAGTTCAGGTCTTCCTGAAGGCCCGTGGGGTTGAGAAGGCAGTGGAAAAAAATGTTTGTCTTGCAGTTACATTTTTACCTACTGTACGGTGTCCTGGGAGGAAGGCTGACAAGGGGGAAAATCATCCTTTGTTCTTAGAACCTTCTGAACGGTTGAGATTTTCAGATCAGTTGCTAACAGTTTGTGGGCCCAATTTCACTTCTGCTGTGGCGCTCCTCTACTCACAAGCCTTCGATGGCTCCCTGCTCCCTTCCCCCATCGTTCTCATCTCCTCTTTGTTTTCCACATGCTGCAGAACTTGGCCCAGCCAACCTAGCAATTCCTGTTGCTAACAGGCTCCTTTCTCTGGTCAAGCCACAGGATGAGCAAATGGAAGGGGCCTTTACAGACTTCCTTGTTGCGTGATTTTCAAATCCTTCTTGGAAGTAAAACCGTGCAGGGAATGTAAAATGCAAGAAAGCAGAACTCTCTGGTTGGAGCAGGGGAGGGCCTGGCAGAAGGGCTGGGTCTAGCCTGGTTGTTCACTTTGTCTGGCCCTGAGTCATTTCAAGATGAACAAAATGTAGAACTTTGTGATTGTCTAGCCCCAATGCCTCGTTTCCTAAAGGAAGAAATGGAGGCAGAAACAGATAACCTGGGTGGCTGGGAGATAGCTCAGTCTATAAACTGCTTGGTGTGTAAACTTGAGAACCTGAGTTCAATCCCCAGAACTCATGTTAAAAAGCCAGATGAAGTGGCACATGTTTGTAATCCCCGTGCTGGGAAGACAGAGACAGGTAGACTGCTGGAGTTTGCTGACCAGCCATCCTAACCTAATCAGTGAGTTTCAGACCAGTGAGAGACCCTGCCTCAAAAAATAAAGTAAATGGCTCTTGTGGGATGACACCTGCAGTTCACCTCCAGCCTCTGCATGTATTCACACACACACACATTCCTGCACAATTGCACACACACGTACCCACACACATGAACATGAACATACATATGCACACATGAGAAATGGAGTGACTTGGTTCATATGGGGAAGGATAGAGACAGGTTGTCTCCTCTGTTTTTTCTCAGACCCTCTTCCCTCTCTGCTGATACTTTTCAAGGCCTATCCAAACTTCCTGTCACGGTTTTCTTGCCTTGCCATGCCTCTGTTTTTCCTGTCTCTCTGACCTCCAGTCAACTGGCTTCATCTCCTCCAGTAAAACCTGCCTAGATAGCTTCAGCTCACTGACACTCTGTAGACATTGTGATGCCCAGGCCATGAAACAAAACGATCTAATTATCTACCTGCCTCTACTTACACTTGTCACGTATGTGAACATGGGAATTTGACCTTCCCTGTGAGATGGAGGCTGAGGCCACTCTGTACCTGCTCACTTGTGTCTCCCTTGCATCCCATCTACATTTCTTGGAACTGGGCCTATGAATGGTCAACCTTCAATTAAATGCTTATCTTGCTTGATTTGGTGTTTATGAAAAGAGAAAGTTCTAGAGAGTTGAGTGTACAAAGAAACTGTGTGATGGCATTTCTGCATCTCACTTTTCAACCGTTTCCTACTTCCTCATCCTTCCATAGGTGGTGTACTTAGCAGCATTTACATTCTAGCATGCCTTGCTAAGATTGTCCATCAGTATCTTTTCAGCCTATAAACAGCTGCTAAGATGTGTCTCTAGCACCTGACACTGGGTAAACTAAACTAATCCCTCATCCCTCGATGAAAAAAACCTTATTTTGAAAAAAAATGGGAGGAGAAAGTAGCTCTAGCTTCCCCATCTCTCCTGGTGAGAATGCTGTCATACAAACTAGTGGTTTTTAAGGAGTGGTCTCTGGATCACTGCCATCAGTACCAGCATCACTTAGGAAATGAGAGCTGCAAAACCTTCTAGAGCTATTGAATCAGCTACTTAGGCTGGGCTCTAAGAACTTGTGTTTGAACAAGAACCGTGGAATTCTAGAAGAGTTTGAAACACACTGGTATACTGAATAATTTCCAGAAAGAACCGCCAAGGTAACTTTGGGTAGGTTTATTACTACTCCTTTACATGGATGAGAGAACGCGAGAGGAATAAGGGTAGTTCACAGGATCATGTGCTTGTAATGCTGGTATGAGGACCAGTTTTTCTGCGCCTTGGTTGCACCATCTAGCTAGCCTCAACTATGACTGTAGGGTGTAAAGTTACTATTGATTATGCAGCTAGAGCAAAGTGGAAATGATTTCATGTATATAAAGTTCTCTTGAGTTATTACTGTGTGTGGTAGGAAGAAATATACCGTTTTAAAGATGTGGTGTGTGTGAGATGGAACAGACTCACCTAAGGTGTGTTTTAAGCAATAAAACACAGGACTAATGTGCCTTATCACCTATTGTGGTCAGTGAGTTTTAGTGAAACACAGTCATGAACATTTGTTTATGTATTACCTGTGGCTGTATTTTCATTACAATAGCAGAGCTAAGTAACTGAAATAGAGACTTCATCACAGCCCGTGAAATCTAAGATATTTACTATGTAGCTCTTTAGAGAAGTTGTCTGATTCCTGATTTAGAATACTAAAATGAACTCAAAGTAAAACAACCAAGGAGACTTGGGGAGAATAACAGGAACATATTTCTTAACACTTCTTTATAAAATCTTATGAATGTTGGTACTGGAGAGATGGCTCAGAGATTAAGAGCACTAGGTGCTCGTGCAGAGGACCTGGGTTCAGTTCCCAGTACCCACATGGTGGCTAGCAACCGTCCCTAACTCCAGTCTCAGGGAATCTGATATGCTCTTCTAACCTCCATGGGCATTGCATGACACGGGTGCACTTACATATGTTCAGTCAGTATACTCATACGCATAAAATAAAAATGATTAAAATATTTAAAAAATCTTCATGAGTGTTTACCTTGCTGTGCTGAATAGATTCAGTCGTCAATTTGACTCACCTGAGAAGAGGAGACCTCAACTGGGTAATTTCCTCTAGCAGATTGGTCATGTCTATTAGGCATTTTCTTGATTGTTGAGTGATGTAGGAGGGCTCAGTGCCCTGTGAGTCTTGCTACCCCTGGGCAGGTGGCCCTGGGTTATATAAGGAAGCAGGCTGGGGGAGCAAGCCAGTAAGCAGCATTCCTCCATGATTCATGCTTCAGCTCCTGCCTCTAGGTTCCTGTCTTAAGTTCCTGTCCTGACTTTCCTTAGTCATGAACTGTGACCGGGAAGTTGTAATATGAAAGAAACCTTTTCCTTCCCAAGTTGGTTTTGGTCAATGTCTTATCACAGCAATAGAGACACAAACTAGGACACTCCTAAGTGGTGCTTGTGTATAAGATTCTTTTGGGGATTCTGCTATTGTAGAAATGATAAAGGCTTAAAATCTATGACTTTAAAGCATGACATTGCAATGAACCAGGACAACAGGCACTGCTAAAAAGTAGAAATGTGTAACCATTTTAAAGAACATAGTTTCAGCCAGACTGGGTGAGGCATACCTGTCATCCTAGAACTTGGGAGGCAAAGGAAGCAGATTGGTGAGTTTGAGGCCAGTTTAGAGTATGTAGTGGGACCCCCTGCCTCCAAAAGGAGATGTACGTTTATAATTTTCAGTGATACATAGCTAATGGTAAAAATGGGAAAACTAATTATAGAAGCAAGAGAGCAAACACGCATTAATTCTACGACTTCCATGGGCTTGCAGTATAACTGAAGAATAGAAAACTCAAATAGTTGAACTGATCCCTTAGAACTCCATTGACATTGTGCTTGTGTGCAAAGCTGGGGAAAGGGGCTTCCATATTGACAAGAAGTGGTACAGGAAGAGATGTTATCCCTGGGCACTGAGACCCTATGCGTTGGACGCTGTCAAGATCACAAGTGAGACGAACGTCATCCTCATTTGCCAAGTCTTAAGAAGCCATTCCTTTTCCTCCTCTGGATGTAAATCCTTCGTCATCTCAAGTTGCCTACAGAATCTTGGCCATGTCTCTTTGCAAGGCATGTCTGGCCTTCCCCTAGGTCTACTTTCAGCCTTGGATCCCATCGAATCCCCCCTCCGCTGCTGTATTCTGATGTAGGTTCTTGTGTACTTGCTAACCTCTTTCTTGACTCCTCTTCCGTCAGGGCTGTGTCCTCTCTGTTCTTACATCAGAGGACTTTCTTGAATTTCTTGTTGTTTTCCATCCTTAATATTGAGTGTTTTGGTATCTTTGCTGACTACGTGTGTTTCCTGGAGGCAACATATAGTTGGTTCTTTTTCAATATTTTATTTATTATGTATGAGTGTATTGCCTGCATGTATGTAAGAGCGCCTGTGTCATACAATGTCCGTGGAGGCCATAGTGGATGTCAGATCCCTGGAACTGGAGTCATGGAAGGTTGTTAGCCACGATGTGGGTGCTGGGAACAGAACCCGGGTCCTCTGAAAGAGCAGCCAGTGCTCTTAACTGCTGAGCTACCTCTCCAGCTATGGTCTTGTTTTTTAGTCAATTAGTCTTCTTTTTCTTCTTCTTTTTTTTTTTAGTGCTGATTTAAGGCTGTTTACATTAAAGGTTATTGTAGAAAGAGGTTTGCCATTTCCTATGAACTTGTTTGGTGATGTTCTGTTTAACTGAATTATTTGCATTTTATTTCCTTCTTCTGTATTAGTTTTGAGGATTTGCTGAGTTGCTGTGTTTGACTTGGATGTTTCTTTCCTGGGGTCTTGTTTGTTTATCTTTTCTTTTCATTGAGTGCATACTTTCTTGTATTCAGGTGGAGGAGACCATTTTTCTTCTTCTTCCTTGTAAAGTATTACATTAAGAATTTTCTCAGAGGCAGGGCATGGTGGCACATACCTTGAGTCCTGGCACTTGGGAGGCAGAGGCAGGAGGATCTCTGTGAGTTCAAGGCCAGCCTGGTCTATATAGCAAGTTCCAGGGCAGTTGGGACTACAAGGAGACCCTGCCTCAAAAGAAGAAAGGAAAGAAAGAGAGAGAGAGAAAGAAAGAAAGAAAGAAAGAAAGAAAAACAGAATTTTCTGAGTGTAGTGTGATGGTGATGGCACCTGCCTTTAATCCTAGCACTCAGGAGGTAGAGGTAGGCAGATCTCTATGAGTCTGAGGCCAGCTTGGTCTACATAGCAAGTTCCAGGCTGGCTAGAAATATGTCTAAAACAAACAAACAAACCAACAAACCAACAAACATAACAACAACAATTTTTTTTGTAGTGCTAGCTTGATTGACATGAATTGCCTGCATTTGTGTTTGTCTTGAAATACCCTTTTTCCTTTGCAGAGTATAGCATTCTTGGTTCACAGTTATTTACTTTCTGAGTTTTAAATATTTAATTCCATGCTCTTCTGGCTTTTATTGCTGATGAAAAGTTGCTGATGAAAAATTTGGTAATTCTGATATTTCTGCTTTTGTGTGTAAGTTGTTTCTCATGATGCTTTTAGAATTATTTCTCTGCTTCATAGCTTTGACATCCTGACTCTGATGTGCCATGGTGAGTTCCTCCTCTAGTCATATCTATTTGGAGTTCTATATAACTCTTGTGTTTGGATATTTACTTCTTTTATCAGGTTTGGGAAATATAATTTCATTGAATAGTTTATCTATTCCATTTTATTTTATTTTCCTCTACTCCATTTACACCATGAATTCTCAGGTTTGATCTTTTTTTTTTTTTCAATAGGATTGTGCCCTAGGCATGAAACAGCTTTGGCCACTCAGCCAGGCATCAAGCGAGGATGAACAAAGGACAGCGTCTGCTCTGCCTCTGACTGATCTAAGAACAACATCACCAACAAGGTGTCTCTTTGCCCATTGCCAGGTGGTAGGTTTGATCTTTTATAAAAAAAATTTGGATTTATCTATTTTTATTTTATGTGTATGAGTGTTTTACCTGCATGTATGCAAGTGCACTCATGTTGTACAATGGCTGCAGAGGTCAGAAGAAGGCATCAGATTCCCCTGGAACTGGAGTTACAGATGGTTGTTAGCCACCTCGTGGGTGCTGGGAATCAAACCCAGGCCCTCTGCAAGAGCAACCAGTGCTCTTAACTGCTGAGCCGTCTCTTCAGCCCCAGATTTGATATCTTGAATGTATCCTAGACTTCTTGAAAACTTCATTCATACGTTTGTATTATTGTCTCGACCTTGTCTGCCATCCCTGAAGTTTGTTCTGCATGGCCTGGTCTGTTAATGATGGTATCTGTGTGTTTGTTTTAGATTGACCATCTCCTTCATTTTAAATGTTTCTGTTTGATTTCTTTTCAGTGTTTCGATCTCCTTGCTGAAGGAGATTGTTCATATTTTGGGCTTCTGCCTCCAGTTTACTGGTTGTTTCATTAACTTTGGAGACTCTCTTGCCAAGGTCTTGGATGGATTTCCTCAATTTGTGCATCTGTTTGTTTGATTCTTCTATATGACCATTAATTCTTTTTTAAAAACTAACACTCTAGACTGGAGAGATGCTTTAGTGGTTAAGAACATTGGTTGCTCTTCCAGAGGACCTGGGTTCAGTTCTCAGCACCCACATGGTGGTTAACAGCAGTCTGTAATTCCAGTTTCAGGGGATGACACTCTTTTCTGGCCTCTGAAGGCATTGTATGACATGGATGCACTTAGATATATTCAGGCAAAATATGCAAACACATAAACTAGAATAAGTAAAAAAAATTCAGTAAAACTCTGAATTCTTCCTCAGACATTTCAGCTAGCTCTGTGAGTTTGGATTCGTGTACAGGGGAGTTGGTCAGTTGGGGATGAGTCAGAGTTGGTGATTATATCATAGTCTTCGTTGAGCTTTGCACATCTGTTAGAGTGACTTTGTCTTTCTGTTTTGGCTTTCCCTTCTCCATGACTATTTGGATGTTTTGGTTTCTCAGATTCTTCCTCTAGGGACACCTGCATAAAGCTTAAGCATTCGGACTGGTGAAGCTTGGTGTTGAACATTTCATCGGACTGCTGAGGTGATCCTGATTGACTATGTGCCAAGAGGGCAAAGGATGGGACCACACACCAAGCTCCCGGGTAGCCAGACAGGATTACAACCCAGTCACCTGTGGACTTTACAAACACGTAGTGGCAAGGCACCAAATGTTAGTCTATGAATTATCCTGAGGTTGTGGTTAGCTCCACAGTCCTGAACTAACCTCTGGCACCACAACTGTGTAGATTGCTAGACCTGAAGTAAACACTGAAACCTTGGAAGCCAAAACCCCACACCCACGCTGCCCCTAAGAGACCACTGGAGCCAGATGTCAGTCTTCAGGGGACTCTGGGCACATTGAAGCCAAAGCCCAGGATCCCCATTGACCTCTGAACCCACCAGGGCTGGAATCCTGATCCCACAGTGCTCCCAGGTCCCTCTTAGTCCTGAGGTGCTTCCTGGACCCATTGGAGCAGAAGGCCTGCTCCAGAGGTGCTATGGAGTCTTGCAGGTGCCGGAAACGTAGTCGTGGGGTGGTGCCTGGATCTGCTGGAACCAGAAGCCTGGTTGAGCTGAGCTCCCTATTCCCACTAGAGTGGGAGGCCTGCTTGTAGAACTTGCTGCAGCAGTTCATCTCTTGTCCTTGAAGTTCAATGTATTTCTAAAAAGTGGCTGTTCAAATATTGTCCTCCAGCTCTCAACTTCCCAAATACAATAGAGCCCTCTCCTCTGGGGTTTCATAACATGCTTCTTTCTCTAATCACCAATAACAGTTAGAGCAGGAATGATTATTTTATGTCTTTGAACACTGCCTGCATTTAGTGAGCTCCAATTTTATACTAATCATTCATTCAATTAATGCAGTCATTATTTCACCACTCACCCTGATCCTGTTTTAGTTTGATTTCTGTTACTGTGAGAAAACACTGCCCAAAACCAACTTGAGGGACAAAATGGTTTATTTGACTTTCTACGTCATAGTCCATCTTTGAGGGACGCCAAAACAGGAACTCAAGGTAGAAACCTACAGGCAGGAGCTAAGGTGGAGGTCATGGAAGAGCACTGCTTACTGGATGGCTCCATTGGTCGGGGTTCAGCTTGCTTGCTCTTAAAAATATTTTATCTATTATTTTTCTGTATATGAGTATATTGCCTGCATGTATGTTGGTGCACCCATGTTGTGCAGTACCCACAGATGTCAGAAGAGGGCTTAGAATTCTCCTGGAACTGGAGTTACGGAGGGTTGTTAGCCACCACGTGGGTGCTAGGAATTGAACCAGGGTCCTCTTCAAGAGCAGCCAGTGCTCTTAACCACTAAGCTTTCTCTCCAGCCCCTTAGCCTGCTTTCTTACACAACCTGGGAACACCTGCCCAAGGATAGCACCACCCACAATGGTCTGGGCCCTCCCACATCACTCAACAATCAAGAAAATGCCCAAAGGGCAATCTGATAGACAAAATCCCCTCAATTTAGGTTCCCTCTTCCCAGATGTGTCAAGTCGACAACCAACCACAAGAGAGCCCAAGAGTGCTGCTTTTGGTATACGCTCCCCAGTGCTGTCTCTCCCACCCTAACCCTTGTCTTTGCATATAGCCAAACATGCACATCTTCAAAATGGAACGTGCAGAAACTATGACACACGGACATCTAAGGGAATTGATGCTTTCCCAGAGTGGACTGTGGACCATAATTGAGCTGCAAAAAGTTTGAGCAAACTAGTGTTATTTCCAGAGATGGAGGTGAGGAGGAAATTATACTTTGAATGTTCAGACTGATGTCAAATTCATGATCCTGGGATCATAGGCTTATACAAACATACGCAGCAGAAATCTGACTTTTTCTTTTCTTTTTTAGAAGACGGTCTCATCCCACTAATGAAATATTTCACATGAGCGATCTGACTTGCATGTTGTTTGTGTTGGGTGCATGGAGCATTATGGGAGGTGGATGTCCTGCAAAATTGTTTCCTGATGCTAGCAGAATCAGGAAGTAGCCTTTTTCTATTTAAAGTGGGCTAAATTTTCTTCTTTCAATTTCTAGGAAATCTGTAAGCTTTGAAGTGAAAATCAATTTCTCTCCAGATGGTTAGGGCAGCCCAGTAAAGCCTTGAACTGCTGTGCTCTTTGTGCAGAGGCACATATTTTCATATAGGGAGGGACAAGCAAAAGAGAAACAGGTGAACCGCAACAGATCACACCAGTGCATTTTGTGCAGTAATTATTTTTGCTGGGAAGAACAAAAATATCCCGACTTAACTTTTCCTTTTTAATATCTAACTTTCAGTTGTGGAATCAAAGGGGGATTGGCAGACTGTAAATGCCCAGGTGTAACCATCTGCTTGGTGTTGGTTGCAGTGAGGCTGCAGAGGGGACAACCACTTTGTGGGGACCCGAAGTGAAAAGCTTGGAGTGGAACACCTCTTGGGGAAACTATCCTTGAACTGATAAAAGTATAAAGTAATTAATAGGTGGGGTAATAGAAGATGGTGAGTGTTTGGAAAATAGTTCAGAGAGGGACCAGGGAAACAGAGCCCTGAGCTCAAGTCCCTTTCCACACCTTGCGTTTCAAAGCAAACATTTGATGAGAATCTATAGTAGAGCAGAAGCTTGTATCCTTTGGGGTGGGGATGCATTTAGTCACCCCAAACCTTAGTTGGTTTCATTGATAATGTAACAATTATTTTTACTTAGCATGGCTCAGTGGTGGGGTGTTGCATGGTGAAGAAACCTTGGGATACCCTCCAGTACATGATAGGTACTTGATTTACATTTTCAGAATGTGCACGAACTTTTCCTTTTGTTGAAGTATTGGACACCCAGCTAGCCAAATAAACCTACTTGGTCTACCCATCTAGATAGTAAAACTCCCTTTTATCTCTCCCTGTTTGGAAAGATGTCCTTTCCTCCCTTGCTTTATCTCCTGTGCTTCTGTGACTTCTCTTTGTCTTCTCCTGACCTTGCTCTCTCCTGGTTCTTATATCCCATCCGGTGACTCTCTACCAGCAGTTTTTACCAAGTATATTATTAACTTTTCCTTTTGAATTATTTTTGTCCCAAATTGTTTATGATTGTGTTGCTTTTTATAAGGAAGGGACCAGAAACAACCCATAATCCCTACCCATAGGGGAACATTGCAAATAATATCTTGGGATCATGTTGATTTGTATTATAGTACTGTTTTCTTTCTTGATGTGTGTAGTTTCCTATGTGTCATAGGAAAATCTAATATTTCCTTGTCTGAGTATCGTGTACTACCTTTCACCACCTCTTTGCAAGGAATGGAGAATCACCAGAAATAGAATAAATTTCTCCCTCTGAATCCAGCCCACAGTGTGCCTGTCCTAGCCCTAAGCATCCTTTTCTCCTTTTGTTATAAAGTCACTTTACATGTAGCTCCTCCACTCCATTTTTCAGTTCATGGAATATTAGCATAGCTGGCCAATAGCTAGAGAGGCTGAATACCGTATATGGGAAACGAGAGAGAAGCTGCTATTCCAAGAGGATTGTCCTGTCAGTTTGGCCAAGCTGTAGAAAATGGTTCCTTATCTTCAGAGAGCTGGAACCAGAAATGGTTGGCAAAGGCTGTCTTGGCTTCATGCTCTTCCTTTGAAGTCCAGATTTGGGCTTCTGTCTATTGCAACATCCACGGAGTACAAAATGGACCAGCTCTTGAGGGTTCCGCTGGACCAGGGGAACCTCCGCCACCTGGACTGCATGGCTTTGTCTTTCTTTCTTTTTTCTCTTGCTTTGAGGTGATGGAGCCTGATGGGAAATGTAGGGGACAAGAAATAAACTTAAAGGTGAACACATTTAAGATACCATGGATACATGCTGCATTGGGATTGAGATCTGATTAATTGTAGGTTAATGCCGGATCTAATGTCTTTGTTTGCTAAGTCCCCTGA